TTTGCATGCGAAGAGTCCTTTGTTTTGACCCCAGTTGAGCTTGCTATCTATGATTACCCCCAAAAATTTTGATAGAGAGTGTGAGTGGTTTTATAGGTCCTTATGAAAAGAAACGTTTAAATTTTTACTGAATTGACATCTGCTTCAGCTTCGTACAAGGTGTACGGCTTTTTAGAGTAAATCACTTTCGTTTTTTAAGCGCCATAGCAAGGGAGATAAGTCTTGAGTGGTACTTTTTGGGGTGTATCTTGTGATACCAGCTTTACCTATCTCAGCGAAGGTGATTCTGCTCTTTGGGCAAGATATATCTCTTCAATGCACACAATACAATATGAGAAAATGCCAAGCGTGTATTCTCCGAAAGGCTATTTTGGGGTAGACATCGAGCAGCTTGGCAAACATTATTTTTAGAAGGAACGATGTCAGCCTAATGGGCCGAAGTGGAGTGATTTTAAAGCTCATTCCACCCTTTTTTTGGTTGAATATTTCGCTAAAGTTAGTGCAGATATTGCTTTATTGCGAGAAAAATTTCGTGAACGCGATTTATTTTTGAAAAGTCTCTCCATTCTCAAATTGTAACCGTTTGGTCGGACCGCAGCGACGGAGTTATTGGACTTCACTTTGTCGAAAATGGGGCTATTACAGATATTTATAATAATTCTTTACGACCGGAATTGGAGAGTATTGATCCAGACAACGTTTACTTTCAACAAGACTATGCTACGTGCCCCACAAGCAACGAAGCCATCGATATTCTTAAAGAAAAATTTCCGGTTGTTCAAGAGGTGATCGCAGTTGGTCGCCGAGATCTTGCGATTTAACATCTTATGAATTTTTCCTTTGGGGCCACGTGAAATATAAGGTCTACGTCAACAGGCCAACAGCGATGCAAGATCTCAAAGATGGAATACGTGAAGCAATTGAGGGCATACAGTAGCCACTTTGGCATTTTGTGATGGAAAATTTCATAAAAAGTATACGTTGCGTAGCCGTAGCGGTTCAAAAATTTTCCATAATTAACTGCATATCTTTCTTCTTAAATTGAAATAAAAATCTTATCATTTATCTCATTTTTCATTGAATACAAAAATAAATATCAAAATGCGTAAAGCATTTTCGAAACCGCAAAATGGATAACCCTGTTGTTTTTAGATTACTTGCAAATCTAGTAAAACCGAATCGAATAAACGACATTTCAACTTTAAATTCAACTTCCAAGTGAAGTGTTTTTAGTTTTTTCTTTCAGGCGAATTTTGTTTGCTATATTTTTTTCGTTTTCTCTTTGGATAACCAGACCTACCGAGAGAGTCGCTTACCAAAATTGGCATGCATATTTTATTTATGAAGTGTAAAGAGCTTTTGGAAACTTACATATACATATGCGTTTGTATGTATGTATGTGTGTATAGACTCGTATATAGTTAACTTTAATGAATTGCAATAAAATCAGAGTCCATTCATGGCTAATCATGGCGCCGGTTTTAATAGAATTGATTAAATTTATTATACTGATGGCGATCAAAATAAACATGCATATGTACATACAAACAAATGTAGATATATGCTAGAGATAAACACAAATAAATATTTACTCGTACATTGTGTGTTATGTATAACTCAGAGAATGCATGTATTCGCCACTTCCCTATAAATAGAGAGCAAGAGTTTAATATAAAAATGAATTTCGAGATTTTTAAACATTCAGAAAGCTTAAATTTGACTACCATTTATGCACGCTCTCTTCACCCCCTGTCCCCTCTCTCTCTCTTTCTCTCTCTGCAACACTCACTACCGCTTGGCATATAAAACCGCAAAAACCGCAGATGATCCGCATGCTGAAATTTAAACATCTACAAAGCCAAGCTGCTGAATGATGAGGTGAGGGATGGCAAGTAGCAAAAATAATAATAAGAAGAAAGAATGAGCAAAAAAGTAAAAAAATAAACACACCACCGAATGACGCCCGTTTTGTCTTGTGGTATGTTTTTTGGGGGGGCGGGAGGGGTGCTGTAAATTGGAGCAATGGGTGTTGAAATCACACGCACACACACATATACACATATCTACGTGAAATGTAGCATACCCACCATGCCAGTGGGGGTTAATGGCATTAAAGAGTGAGAAAAGTGAGTAACAAAGCTCCGGGAAATGCTGTTCGGGCGGCGAATATTGAATGCAAGAGGTTTCGTATATATTTATGTATGTACATATGTACATATGTACGAAGCAGCATGAGTTTGTGCTTGGCAGACATTTTATGTGCTGCTGTTGGTATGACAGCATTAAGGAGAAAAATCCCTAGCAATGATACTGAAAAACTGAGATATCTACTAAAAACAGATTCATATACTCTTAGTTTCCTATATACATATGTACATATGTATGTATATGCCTAAATTTGTTGAAATTTCCGCATGATGAAGGCCGAAAGAAGGCTAAAGCTTTCTGGGTAAATATGTCTCTAGTAGACGTTGGTGTTGTTAGTGTAGTAAAAATAAAATCGTAAAACTAAATGCAATCATAAAGTATGTAAGTATGTACATATGTATCTGCTAGTAAGAAATGATGGTTAGCAGGCAACCGAAAACCGAGAAACTACGGAAAATAAAAATAAAAAATTTATAAAAAATAAAACAAAAAATATATATTTACGCCATAGCGTATAAAACAAAGCAATAATACATACATACATATGTTAGCCAGCGAAATAGGAGTAGAAGCTTTTGCGCAGATTTCATGATTTTTATCGATTTTTTCCGCATTCAAAGCATTTCTTTAAAGCCTGAGATTTTGCAGTCGTCTGCCGGTTAAGTGATTGTATTTTGAAATATAATAATGTATGTATGTATGAGTATGCTTACTTTTTTTTAATTTCTTAGCGAACAAACTGTTTTGATTTTTACACAAAAAACTGTGACGTCTTAAACGTTATAATTGGTAAAAAATCAAATCAAATTTAGAGACTTTTAATGCAAGAAATAAAAAAAAATATTTTTATGTTTTAATTACTTTTTGTATTTTTTTTTTACATTGTACTCAAAATATCGATTAAAAAAATTCAAAGATTAAATATTTATAAATTAAGTTGATTTTTATTATATCGATGAAATTAAAAATTTAATTTTTTAAATTAGAAATTCACAATGACCAATAGAAATGTTCGGAAAATCGTTTTGAGCTTCGCAATTGCTTTACATTCTGCTTTTATAGTCCTCATTTATAGTTAGACCAATGTGTAATGTCAACATTGAAATCCAAGGAAGAAAAACTCTTCTCTTCTGATACTTTGCATTTGGTACGGAATTTCTCTTGGTGCAGAAACGACGAGACGCAAAAACAACGGAGAGAAGGTGCGAGTGGCGCGCTATGTTGATATGCCAGTAAGGGAGAAGAAGTAGATCTTATATCATGAATTATAAGACGATCTCATAGTGTTGTTTTATTCAAAAAAATGTGGATCTATTATAACAGACCAATTAGCCCATTCTGTGGCATCAATTATTGACAACGCACAAATCGAGTTTAGTAATCGTAAATGTATTTAATCGAACCTTCTAGAAATCACCACCCATATCAGTAATGGTTTGAAAAATGCTTATCAGACTGATGTTGTTTAGCTTGAGAGAAGCATTTGACATGGTCTCTCATTCTATGCTTCGCTTTTAACTGGATTATTTGGGGTTTCCATCTTCCATTCTCAAGTGGATTTCATTGTACTTGATTGGGAGAAAGTTGAGTTTATTTTTTAATTGCTGCACATCACATGAAACATCAGTTACATCGAGTGTTCCTGAAGGCTGTCTCCTCAGACTCTTACTCTGCCTTTTATGCATCAATGATCTTTTAGTCTGGATTCTAAAATACTCATGTATGTACAAATGTGATATCAAAGCTCTTTGACTCGGTGCGTTCTATTGACGATATAGAACTTTTTAACTTGGCCTAAATAATTTGGTTCAGTGGTGTGATGCGAACTGTATGTTTCTACAGAAATTGTTTCCAATTTTTTGTCTATATGAAACATGATCATCAATGGAGCCCTTATACAGAAGTCAAAAGGCGTTTTAGATTTCATTAAACGCGGGGCAAAGGAGTTCAAGGACCCATACATTACCAGGTTACTCTTTACCTCACTTGTTAGGTCACTTTTGGAATATGGTTGAGTTGTGTGGAAACCTCATTAACTTTTAATTCTAACTAAATCAATAAGAAATGTTATTAATAGCACATTCCTACTTATCGAACTTAACCCTACCGTCCTTTTAATATCATCCAGATTCTTTAAACCTCTTTTATTGTGTTCATGCATTTTTTAAAAGTTTTTTCAACGATTTTAAAACTCATTTCGCCAGCATTGATTCTTTCCACTCTCTTCTCTACATCAAAATTTCCTTCTTTTTTTCCATGTAATTTATAGCAGCTGTAGAGCAAATATGTATGTAGCTGTTTAGTGTAAGAGACTTGTGTATCTGCCTTCCGCAAACGGTCTCGGTTCAACGGTCTCGGTTCAGTCACCGGTCTGTTCGATTTTTCGATTCAGGCACTTCGCTCGGTTCGTAGGGAAGTGGATAACGCTGTTTTCATCGTAAAAAAGGAAGATGAAGCTCCGGTTTAATCGAACATTATATGTTCGGCTGATATTTGTATTAAGCCTTTGACTTTCACTTACGGAGAAGTCCATTTGTAAGAAGATAGACTTGCTTACAGATCCATGTTAATATTATTTGGCAGCATCCACGCGGGATGGGTCTTGTACATTAATTCCACTCCCTTTCGGGGATGTATCTCACTTAGCTTAGGGCGAAGTGGAGAATGAAGCCAATTTTATTGGCAGCAAGGATTAGGTAGTCAAATACATAAATTCTTTATTCATATTTATATTTTTTTATATTTATAATACATATAAAACAAATTACCTTTCGAATAACTACAATAGTTTAGAAAATTTATCACCATTCATTGACACTAAGTTTATATTTCCTTCATCTTTTCCTTCACAGGTGAAAAACCCCACAAATGCACTGTCTGCGGCAAGGCATTTAGTCAAAGTTCCAACCTCATCACACACTCACGCAAACATACCGGCTACAAACCGTTCGCCTGCAAACTCTGTCACAAATCCTTTCAACGTAAAGTCGATCTGCGACGCCACAAAGAAACTCAACATACCGATCTGCGGCCGCTTATCGAACGTAATCTCGGCGGCAAAGTGGAATTCATGGCAGCAGCTGCAGCAGCGGCGGCGGCACAACAAATGGGTCAACATGATGGTCTGACGCCCACGATGGTTGGTCATCATGAAGGTGGAGCCAATGGTGGTATGGGTTCTGCTGCTGCAGCAGCAGCGGCGGCGGCAGCGGCAGCAGCTGCAAACTCTATCAATTCACAATTGGCTTCGATGAATTGTCAAAAGGTTTCGTTGTTGGTATAACAGGCACAATAACAAAGACAACAATTACAATTACAACAACAACAGCATGAAAGACTATTGGAGCAGCAGCATCGATTGCAGCAACAATGTTTGCGAGTTGACTAGATGGTAAAAGCTGGAATGTGTTGGAGTAATGTAAGGAGTAATTAGATAACAACAACAACAACAACAACGATGATGTGCAATAAAATGTAAAAAAATAGAAACAATTAAATGTTGCTTATATAAAGGTTAAGAATTAACTTTAGTCGCAGAAGGTTTGCGGCGAAATCCATGCACATCCAGTCACAGTGTCTGCATTTATTAAAAAGCATTTTCAGTGTTGCCAAAGCAAAGCACTAGCCTTGCGCTTCTTCATTAAGTTTATTATGTAAAAATATAATATATTTTTCTAAGTCTAAAATAGTCCCATCCACAATAATAGACAAAAAAAGCCGAAGAGATGAATGAAAAATTTAATTTAACAGAATAAAATAATAAAACAAAATAAAATAACCTAAAATAAAATATACTAAAAAAAGTTAACTAAAATAAAATAAACTAAAATAAAATAATATGAAATAAAAAAAAATTAAATAAAATAAAAAATGAACTTAAATTAAATAAAAATATATAAAATAAAATAGCATAAAATAAAATATAAGAAAAAAATTAACTAAAATAAAATGAAATAAAATAAAGTTGTTATTGTAAATAAAATAAAGTAAATTAAATAAAAAGAAAATATCAAAAATTAAATAAAAATAAAATAAACTAAAATGAAGTAACCAAAAATTTAATTAAATTAAATACAATACAATAAAATAAAATAAAATATAATAATATGAAATAAAATAAAATGAAACAGAATAAATAAAAATAAAAGAATTAATTAGAGTATCGTAAAATAAAATAATAAAATAAGCATAAATTGAATAAAATAAGTAAAATAGAAAAAAATCAAAAAAAAAAAAATAAAATGTGAGAAAATTAATTAAAAAAAAAAATTAATTAAAAAGAAATAAGTTATTATAATATAAAACAAAATAAATTAAGTTAACTAAATTAAAATAAAATAAAATAAAAAATAAAATTAAATAATATATAATAATATAAAATAAAATAAAATAAAATAAANGCAAAATCATTCATACATATATGCTAGAAAGCAAAAACCCAAATAACAGGAAGTAATTAGCCTGCGCCCAAAGTTATGCAAGGATTTACGCTCCTCGCGTAAACAAAATAAAATAATATAAAATAAGATATAAAAATACAATAAGCTAAAATAAAATAAAGTAAAATAAATGAAAAGAAAATATAAAAAAGAAAACAAATAAAAAAAAGTAAAATAAATCAAAATTAAATTAAATTAATTTAAATATAATAAAAAAAAAAAAATTAAAAAAAAAATAAAAACTAAATTAAAATAAGTAATACTAAAATAAAATAAAATAAATAAATTTAATTAAATAAAATAAAATAAATAGAAGTAAAATAATACAAAATAAAATAAATTAAAATAAAATAAAATAAAAAGCTTGTAATAAATGCTATTTGTATATACCACTAAATATGATATAATCTCTAAGTTGCGCTTACGTTTCTCTTCCTTACATTTTTTAACAAGTTTAATAAACTTTAAAAACACTTAAATAACTTGTAAATAATTCACCTACCTTGTAATATACGTATTAATGTATGTAATATAATTAAAATGTATGTATTGTATTTGTAATTAAGTAAATATGTAATATAATTACTTGATAAATGTGCATTAAATTTAAATACTTACAATGTGTATATAAGTAAATTGCAATTCTCGCTTCTACATATATGTATAAATAGTTAGTCGTGAATTTTTTTGATTCATTCACTTTACAACGCACATACATTTGTATGTACATATGGGTTTATGAAAATAAGTTCCCATGATGTATTAAAACATAAGAATTTTTGATATTATTGTCATTCCAAAGATTTAGTCTAATTAATCTAATTGTAAAAAAATAAAGTAACGAGAAAAATAAAATTTTTATTGTACAATTAAAATAAAAAAATAGTTATAATTGAAATATGTACATTCATTTAATGTTAATTACTTGGTAAATAGCTTAATATCAATGAAAAATATTTTTTTTGTTTGTTTTAAAATAATAAAAAGAATTTATTGAAATGAATAATCGAAGTTAAAACGGTCATTTGATTTATTTAATTGTTGGGATGACAAATTTCTTCCATTCTTGCACACTGCAATCGCGCTGTGAGTTCTGTATCCTACAGACTCGATAAGGAAACGAAAGTAATGGGTCTTCGCATTCCCGATTTGGTTCCCACGACACTTTTGATAGTTATAACTTTAAAGGTTTATCGAATTGCGCAGAATTAGCTCACCCAGAAGTTGGCGCAGAATTAGCCATACAAGGTGCGTTTCAAAGTAAACAGAACTTTAAAAAAAAAAACAGAAAAAATAGTTTTATCGGCAAATCCATTAATTTTTTTTAAAATAGTCTCCCTCTGCTTTAATACAGCTTTTTACACAGTCCAAAAGCATATCGAACGAGTGTTTTAGGTCGATTGCATCGACAATTCAAATCAGCCTTACTATGTCACAAAGACTCTTGGGTTTACAGCATCGTGGAAAATTTACATTTTAACGACACCGGCTGAATTGATTTGCTGTGAACGGATTCGGATTCCTGGCGAACTTTTGAGTGCTGCTAACAACCAGTCAACATATCGCTGGCCTCGTCATTTTCAAAAACATTTTCATAACCTAACTTCGGCCGAAATGTCGCTCCACGATAAGTAGACAGTATTTCCTTTCAGAGAACTAGAGACTTGTTCCCATTGTTCTGGTACGTCAACGACAAATTGGACCATCTTTCAGTGTCGCATACCAAGGACCATGTCGCATTTTATCGCAACATGACAAACATTTCTATATCGAAATACAAGGACAACGTACTCCCGTCTCAGTAGACCGTCTAAAACCAACCTTGGAAGCATAGGTCGAAGAACAAATCACTAGTTTATCTAATACTAGAAAAAAAACAAGGCACATTCTTTTCGCAAACGATTCGTAACCTATTTAGAACATGGAAATATATAATTATACAAACTTAAGGTTATCAATGTGAAAAATTTTAAATTTGATTTTAAAACACTATAAGGGGAACTATGTGGCATCTCCGCTACTCCACAGAACCAATGGTAATTCTTTCGCTACATATATAACAGCCCAGCAGCTGCGCTGCCTGTATTATTTTCCCCAGCAATAAATTAAAGAAGTCGCACGATAAGGAATCACCCTGAATGAAACCGGTTTTGGTATCAAACGGCTTGAAGAGGTCCTTCCCGTTCGTGACGAAGCTTTGGGTGATGCTTAACGTCAGCTTAACTCAGTCGTATATGTTTTACGATGTTAGAGGTAACTCCTTTTCGGGCTGTCGAAGGCTACTTTAAAATTGACGAAGAGGTAGTGTGTGTCGATCCTCTTCTCACTGGTATTTTCGAAGATTTTTTGAATGCTGAATATCCGTTCATTAATTAATTTACCATGTCAAAAGCCAAAGTAATAAGGTCCAGTTCAGTAGGTTGACGGTGGGTTTCAGTCTTTCTCACCATATGCTCAATAGTACCTATCAATAGGCGATATTGATAAGGCTTATCCGACTGTGATTGGCGCAGAGACTTAAATTCCAATCAACGGGCAAGCTTTTATCCAACCATATTCTGCAAAGAAGCTTGAGCATGCACCTTGTCAGCTCTTCACTGCCGTATTTGAATAGCTCGGCCGGTTTTGTTGTTTTTCAAACGGGCATCGTCATCGATTAGGAAATGCCAGGAGATGGCAAACTCGATTCCATAACTTTGACTGTCATTTAGCGGACTAGAGAAGTGTTTCCTCGATAAGTTCAGTATACTCTAAGCATCCGTTACTATATCACTTCTCTGTCTCCAACAAGAGTGTGATACGGTCTTGAGAGCTTCTGTAAATCGTCGTATCTTTTCTTCATAAACACGCATTTCGGCTACTTTATTTTCTTGTCTACACAAGCGTCTTGCTACCTTCTTCGGTTCTCGGTTCTAACACATACCGTAAGCACCGCCATAAATATCTAGAATATTACTTCTTTGACTGCCAGGCTGACGTAGCGATGGAGGATATACACTAATAGGCGGTGTTCGCATCTTTCATAAGGCACAAGAAATGGTTCGTATATCTGAGAAGGTGGGAAGTACTCGAGAGCGGTTTCACAAGAGACCTTCAGGCCTAAGTGCGCTGGTCGCTCTGCAGCAAAAGCATCAAGACAACTCAACTCAAAAGCTTGAGTGTCTTTACACACTGATCTACGCCAATTAAGAGGAATGAGAACAAGGAGAGGAAGAAGAGGAAGAAGAATTAGAAGAAGAAGAAGGGGAAGAAGAAGAAGAAAAGTAGTATGTAGTTAAAAATCTTTGGCACTAAATCAATCATATTCAATTTGTTAATCGCAGTTATTAGAGCTCAGAAAGAACTTTGACATGCTAAAATGTTATGAAATCTATGCTACACCCACCAAAACAACAAAAACAACAACAACAACAAAAACGTATGAGTTAATTATGAGTACCGATGGAGTTGCATACAATCATAACGAAAATTGATTAATAAAGTCAAATATTTGATCCGTCTGCAAATATACACCCACCCAAGGGAGGTAAAAAGTTACATTCAGATCTATATAAGAGTACATACATGTGACAGTATAATTATATGAATGTAAACTTATGAGCGCGTAANTATCCTACACTTCCTTATCCAGTCTGGAGAAAACAGAAGTCACGGTGTAAACATTAAGGCCAATAATGTCAATATTAGCGGCGAGCGGTAGCAACTGTAGACTGTACTTTTTCAATTCAGCTGCGCTGCCTGTATTATTTTCCCCCAGCAATAAATCAAAGAAGTCGCACGATAAGGAATCACCCTGTATGAAACCGGTTTTGGTATCAAACGGCTTGAAGAGGTCCTTCCCGTTCGTGACGAAGCTTTGGGTGATGCTTAACGTCAGCTTAACTCAGTCGTATATGTTTTACGATGTTAGAGGTAACTCCTTTTCGGGCTGTCGAAGGCTACTTTAAAATTCACGAAGAAGTGGTGTATGTCGATACTCTTCTCACTGGTATTTTCGAAGATTTTTTGAATGCTGAATATCCGTTCATTAATTAATTTACCATGTCAAAAGCCAAAGTAATAAGGTCCAGTTCAGTAGGTTGACGGTGGGTTTCAGTCTTTCTCACCATATGCTCAATAGTACCTATCAATAGGCGATATTGATAAGGCTTATCCGACTGTGATTGGCGCAGAGACTTAAATTCCAATCAACGGGCAAGCTTTTATCCAACCATATTCTGCAAAGAAGCTTGAGCATGCACCTTGTCAGCTCTTCACTGCCGTATTTGAATAGCTCGGCCGGTTTTGTTGTTTTTCAAACGGGCATCGTC